TACCAGGCACAACACAGGTCCGTGAGGATGTGACTACGACTAGGCCCAAATCCTTGGTGGATCCTGCAGGGAGTGGCCCACAGAGGTAAAAGACAGTGACAGAAAAGAATGGAGAAGACACCATCAGACAGCACGTTGACGGGGACATTAGGCACTTCTCACCTTGTGGGAAGAAAGTCTATAGGAGAAAACTGGTCCCAAGAATGGAGGGCAGAGTCACATGAACACACAGCAGACAACAGAGAGCGGTGAGTGGAGGGGACAGGAAGAAAGAGAAGTCAGATGTGCTCTCAGGGTTGGGTAGAAACCCGCATGGCAAGGCCACACGGCTTCGCCTGCCTTTGTTCGGAGACCAAAGAGTTAGAGAAAAACTGCCTTGGGGCCTCTGCCACATCCAAGCTTAGGAAGCCTAGAAACATCAGTGACTGATGAGGCTCTGCCAGCCAGCACTGGCTTGTTTCCAGAGCCTCCGAGTTCTATTCCCTCCGCTGCTCTTACAGCATGATTGATGGAGATACGATGATGACAAGACTGGCTTTGGGAGGTGGCCAGCCAACACTCGACACAAGCTGAAATGAGAAGTGAATATCACAACCGACAGGGGGAGCCCTCCGGTTTCACCAGTGCGCCCAGGCCCCTGCCAGGAGGAAACATATCACACTGGACAGAGGGAGCCCACCAGATCCACCATTGTCTTCTCCCTTCCCCGCTCCTCCGCTGCCCTTGCAGGAAGACTGCCCCTGGTATCAAGGACTCTGAGTCTCCTGGAATGGCTGGTCATTTTTGGCATCAGTTGTAGTTCTCCAGGTTCCAAAGCACCAAAGTCCAGAATAGGATGTGTGCCCCTGGCTACCTAGGGTGTGGTCCCCAAGGGCAGTCAGAAATGGGCCAGGCAGAAGGGCAGGAGAATCCAGTATAAAGCTTGTGAAGCTCCTCCGTGCCCCGGGATCATCCTCAGATGCAGACAACAGGGATGGGCAGTAAAGGCCCTTCTCTTCCTACGTGGGTGGAGAGAGTCTGTGGGGTGGCCGGGGACAGAGTGGACAGGCAGCAGCTGCAGGTGGCTGGCTCTGAATGCTAGAGGATGGCTTGATCTAAACAGACCAGCAGTGGAGGCCAGGGAAGGGCTGGAAGGGGCTGTGCTGCCCCTGGCTCAGAGCAGGTCAAAAAAGATGCCCAAGAGAAAGGTTACAATGAACCCCCCAAGCACCCAGTTTCACAAAACACTCCCGCCTTTCTTCTTATAGATGGATAACTGGGGAAAGTGAGACGTGTTCCTAGTGGCTGGGTCTGACAGGTTAGAACTGGCCGAAAGGTCCAGCCATGAAGACTGTCTAGTAAAACTTTCCTTCAGCCGACTAGGACTCATTATCACCCGTGAGGTGCACTCAAACTCTAAGGGTAAATGCCGGCATGAGCCCAAAGCCATTTCGAGATGGGGCGATACATCAAGCCTTTCTAGAGAGCGTCACTGGGGACTAATTTTATTTGTTAACTGCGGAAGTTCAGGGGGACTCTAGACATTAAAAACCTGGAAAACTAAAAGCCTGAAATAAGCGGTAATGCATCTTTGATCTTCTCACAGAACAGCTTCATCTGTGTTTGTGTAATGAGACCGTCTGCAAACAGGCTCGGCCAAGCTGGAGCAGAGAAGATTCTGAATTGTGAGTAAACACTGTTCATCTCAGGCTGGCTGGAAACAGACATCGCTCCATGGAGCAAACCTTTCAAGACACTTGTGGGCTGCATCCACATGCAGCCTTTTAAATGCATTTAAAAACACCCAGTCTTCTCTGGATAGAAAGGAGCGGGTGACTTTTGTTCCCTTGCATATGGCTGTATTTTCAAACTTTCTGGAAATGAACCTCTACCCTTTGGCTTTCATAAGCAAGTCTACTTTTCAAGAAGATGGAGTAGAATTTCTTCTTTTAAAGAGGAATGCACAGATGCTTGTAATACTAGCACTTCAGGGACAGAGGTGGGATGAGGGTGAATTCTGGGCCAGCCTGGACTATATATCAATACTCTGACTACAAAACAAAGCAAAACAAAACAAAAGGTAGAAGGGAAGGGAAAGATGCGTACTGTTTTGAACTTTGCTATACTCCAATCAGAAGTTCCAATTCTAAATATCTTATTGACATAGAAGGTAATGTTTTGGGTAGAAACTATTATTAAATCAATAATTCAAAGCCAGTGATTACAGCTGGGGAAAGGGCTTGACCGTAAGAGTCTCACAGACTCAAATCAAATCCCAGGTCCAACACAAGCAAGTTGCACACGCTTGGGAAGTTTCAGAACTATAGTTTCTTCCCGTGCAAAAAAAGTCATCTGTGGGGACTAAACGATGCCCTGGCATGTGAGAGGCAATATCCACGAAGAACACAAAGCCATGGTTTCCAACAAACGAACGAAGAGCTCAGTCTCACTCGGCTTCTGCAAACCATGACAAATGTACCCAAATGCAGTGGCTGATGGGAAATAGTTTCATGTGAAAACAGTGCAGAGAGATTTCCAAGGCAAAAATCAATGTTTAAATGTGCTTATGACGAGCCACATCCATCTTTGCTTCTAGATATCCGGGGAGGTCGAGGAGGGGAGGTGGGGGTAACTGGAGGTACACCTGAGAGATCTTCTCCAGACTACACAGGTCCGAGGGTGGAGGACTAATACTGGGTAAACAGGAACTTCCATTATTTCCCTTAAGTAGGCATGTGCGTGTACAGATAAACAGAAGGGGGAAAACCTACAGCCTGCATCTCTTCTGGCCCAAGGGATGCAGGCATTTTAAACACTGCGTATTAAATGCGGATTCATTGTTTGGGATGGCAATACACGCTAAGCAATCAATATGACTCATCAGACCAGGAAATGTATAGAAATATAAGATGCTGGAAAGAAGGCAAATGCACCATCTACTAACTCTCCTAAATATTAGGTTGGTATAGTTACCACCATTCAACCAATACCCACAAACACACAGTGTGTGCATGAGGGAATCAGATCATATCTGAGTGCCCCTTTCGGTGTTCAGGAATCAAATCACTGGTGGGGATGGGATTGCTTGGCTCAGAGAGAGAAGGAAAGGACTAGGGAACAGGGACTGTGCCTGTTGTCACCATGTCACTTCCACTAACTGTACCAACAGGACCTGACTTGGGATTTGACTACATTGTACTCCCTCAGTTTGGGTCATGAGGGTTGGGGGTAGAGGCCAGCGCAGGATCGCTAGGACATTCAGACATCACTTGGTCAACTTAGCTGCACAAATCATCCACTTAATTAACTTGTTCTTGAAGTGTCTGTTCCCCTCCCCAACCTCACCCACATGCACCCTGAGGGAGAGGAGAGAATTCTTTCTTGGGACCCACCCTGCTTCAGGGGCCAATGCAGTGAGTGCCAAGTCTGAAGGAGTTTGGGGTGCTCTCAGGATCTGCTACCCTCCAGACAAAGCAAAACCAGAACGAAACAGCAAATTAAGTATTAGCCTTCAAGAAAGTGGCTCCCTCTCCAAATACAAAGAAGCCGAGGAAGTTCCTTTAGAACATGGAAGCAGATCTCTGCTGCATACTTAGGCACTTGCTACCCTGAACCCCTTTTTATCCTAAACCTGGTACGGTTTCATTTTTTTTTTTTCTTAGCAATTGCCAACAGCCTCAAATCCCCCTGTCTGCAGTAGAATAGACCCAGCATTCCAGGGCAGAGAGGACAAATCCTATTACATCTAACAGGACTTTTTATATCAGCCCCCAAGTTCCTGCATCGGAATCCATTCCTAAACCACTGGTAAGTGATTACACAATCTTAGAAAGAGGTGGACATTTAGACGTACTCTACAGGGTCTTCTCAGAGTCCAGGGGTTAGAAGCCCCTTCCTCCTCCCCAGACGCTCTCCTTCTGCTCCTTGCCACAGCCCTTATGGCAGGAGATGCAGGGTTCTATTTTAAGACAAACCCTCTCACACTAGAAACCACTCAGACAAAACACCAGCATCTCAACTACTCCCCAGTCTTCTCCCTTCTGGGTCATCTATTGTACACAAGCTCTCCAAGGTTCCCCAGAGCCTCCAGGAGTTGGTCTCAGGGTCCCTCCTATCGCCCCACCCTGCTGGAAGGGCACGGCTGCCAACAGCGGTTATCAGTCACTAGGATCTTGGCCCCTTCTGATCATCCTCCCCAGGATGAGAATGGGGACCTTAACCAGCCTCAGAAGGAAGCTAAGGGGTCAAGGGCTTGTGAAATGTGACCGAGTCCACAGGAGACCTACTCCTCTTCGGGAGTCCTGGGCTCTACACCACACCACACTTGATGACCTACGACCCATCTGCTCTCCACACTGGAAGGAAGCCAGGGTCCCAGGGATGATGGGCCTGACCAGATCACACTGAAACCTTATTTATCCTGGTCTTCCTCCCTCTCTCTTCTTAACTCCCATCCCTCTTGATTTCCCTCCCCTCCCGCCTGGCCTCTCCCTCCTTCCTCTTACAAGGCACTCTGGTTGTGTTTCCACTTTGTCTCCAATTATGTCTGAACGCAACCCACCACAGATGCTGACATTTTAAATGTTTAGTTGTTATAGTTACTTGACTAATTGCCTGGGCCACCAGCAGCGCTTCTTCTTTTCTGCAGGAGGGGATGGGGAGTGGGGAGCCCGGCAGATAGGGTTTTAAGCCACTACTTCGAACCTGTCCAGGACACCTTGCCACGCCCAGGAGAGTGCCCCGAGCAGAGGATCCGCGAGTCACAAGCTCCAGCCAGGGCAAAGGTGCTCCCGCCCAGTACCTGTACCGCCTGGTCTCGGGGATGCCAAGAATTGTGTATCCTGCCCCGGGACAAGGGAGATAGACAAGGTCTGCTCAACAAATGCTTCTATCTGGCCTCACAGTCCGCCCACGCCTGCGATGTGTAGAAGGCAGGTGAAATGAGGAACCGAGGTGGGCCTGGGTGGAGTTGAGTGGGTCTTTGGGGCAAAAGAGTTAGAAGCCGGTAGCAGGTTACTCACGTGCCAGATAGCGAAGAAGATGAGCGCAGCGCAGAGCACCAGGGACAGCATGTAGCAGAAAGCAGCGAAAGTGAAGGCCATGGTTGAGGACCCCGATCCCAACACACACAAAGCCGTTCCCTGGAGACCAGTGCCCTCCCAAATGGGAGCCAGGAAAACGTCTGCACACTCCCGGTAAAACCAAAGGCTAGGAGCACGCACAACAAGCAAAGGTAGAGTTGAGGGTCCGTGAAGCCGGCAAGATACGGGCAGAACGGGAGACCCAGGACGTGGAGCGGCCACGGGCACAGAATGTTGCTGGCGGCAACTGTTCCCCTAGCCAAAGAAGAAATCTAACCAGTAGAGAACACCTGCAGACCTGTGTCAACTAGGGAGGCTCTTAAGACCAACAGGCATCGGGTGCGAGGACTCCAGAGAGGACCAGGCGAGGAGGTCCGGTCCCCTGGAAAGCGCCTCTCTGTCCACTCTGGAGCGGTGAAGCGAGCGCGCCACCCAGACTCCGGGAGCGTCCGGCTAGATGCGGGGGTTCCGAGGTCCTCAATCCCACAGCCGATCTGTCCCCGAGCACAAGTCTTTAGGTGGCAGCCGAGGCGAGCCAGGTCCCGTTAGTCCTGCACCCTGGGCTGGGGTCTTCCAACGCAGCTGTGCGCACGGAGATGCATCCGGCCCCGGCTCCAACCGCGGTCCCCCGGCCGCCGGCTTCCGTAACCCGGTGCCTGGGAAACTGGGTCGGACCGGGGCGGCGTGGGCTCCAGCCTAGCGGGCCAGCTCCCAGCCGGGCGGCCGTGGCGCGGGTTTCCGGCCAAGTGCTGCTCGCGACTGAGCGGGGCTCCACCTGCTGCTGCTGTCGCGGGCGCCGCGAAGACTGCGGCGCTGGGACCCCTCCCTCGAGGCGCCCCACCCTGCCGGCTCCGGAGCGCGCCCTCCCCGCGGGCGGAGACTGCAGCGCTCGGGTCCGGGGAGGCGGTGGCGAGGAGACGCGGTGTGCGCCCGCCTCTCGGAGGAAACTTGCGGCCCCGCGCGCGGAGGCGGGAGGGGCAGGGACTCTTTAAGCACGTGCGCCCAGAGCGAGTGGGAAGGCGGAAGGCTATGGCGATGACGCGCCCGCCGCCCCTAGGCTTCCAGCAGTTTTGTGCACATTAGAGCGGGAAGTGAGGGGACTTGGACGCGGGAGTGGCTTGGCTCCTGTTGGTTGGGTCCTGCCATGGCAGATTTCTCAGACTGTAAGGTACTCTTGATCTGGAAGTGCCTTTTCAACCCAACCTGAGCACTGTACCCCCTACCCCCGTACTCCCCCCACCGCGCAGAATCCTGCATTAGAGCCCACCCCTGGCATGCTACACGATCCCATTCCAGCTGACTTTGGGGTTGAAGGAACCTGGTGCCATCGATTAAGGCAGCAGCGTCTCCATGTTGCTCTGTGGCATTGTCTCCACCTCGTACTGTTGGAGGCAGACTCCCTCATACCTCCAACTTTCTTAGCCTCAAATGAAACCTGCTTTCCTTATCAGAAAAGTAGTAATGAGTACCTTCAAACTAAACAGGACCTAGCAGGGAGCACTTGGTACCCAGTCAATCCGTAAATTGTGGGGACTGCACACTCCACCACAGGGCTTTGGCATCGTAAATGTTTGTATCATAATCACGCAATGAAAAAGGTTCCAATCCTGCAGATAGAACTTGAATTTCAGGTGAGTCAGTCTAGAAGGCAAAAAGAAATGTCCTGGAAGATGACTGGCAAGGGTGTGATAATAGTTGTCACACCTGGGGATGGCTGAACACTCCACTGCACACTGACAGGTTGTGTGTTTCCTCATTAGCTGTTCTCCACTGCACAAAGAAACTTTCCTCAGGAGATCTGAGAACTGCGCTAATCTAGGTATAGAGATACAAAGTTAGAGGGCAATCTGATACTATTTCCATTTAGCAAACTGATTGTAGTAAGTCGTCCTCTGGGCATTAACAATTCCCCAACCATGGATTCTTAGCCAGGTTTACTGTAGCAGGCATGAGTTTTCTCCTGTTGCAAGCCTTAAAACAAAGCAGAAAGCTGGTTACCCCCAAAACCTTCATGCCGCTGTTGCATCCGTGGGCACATCTCACCGTGGCACTCGATATAGTAGCTCACTGGGTTCGCTGCTGTTGATGAGTGACAGACACCCCAGAAGCCTGCATAGCAACTTCTAGCATTATGAAAAACAGGCAGCAAGGAGGAACCTCCCTAGTCAGTGCCTACTTGATTTCTCCGTGTCCTGTGACCCAAGTTTCTTCAGCAACAGAGTCTTATCATCAAGTTCCAGTAGGCAACCAAGAGCAAAAGATAATATCCTACATTTCTTTGGGATTCTCTGAGACACCCCTAAATTCCACAGACCCTCCAAGTTAGACACAGAAATCTAAAAATATTAGGACTCACTAGGAGTGAAAACATGCAATGTTTGTCTTTCTGTGTCTGGAAACCCCTTACTCTAAGCACTTAATACACACACACACACACACACACACACACACACACACACACACAACCCAAGAAAGAAAAAACAAAAAACAGAAAGCATTTCCAGATGTTTCTAAAGTTTTGGCTGCAATGCCGGACTTTCTAGTAGATGTAAGGACAGTCTGCAGAGGGGATTTTTATGACATGTTTCTCACTGATACCATTTTTCTAAAGTATGAACAATAAAGCTTAGTCTATTGGCTAAGGTATTATTCTCAACTGAACAAGATCAAAAAGGCTTAGATTTCTCGTTTTAAATAAATTATTAAGAAGCTGTATGTGAAAGCTTCCTAGAAAATAAATATTTTACTGTCTTGATTTATAACTTGTCAAATAAGCTGCTTTCTCACTTAAGTAGGAATGTTTTCCAATAAGCGAAACCATGAATTTAGGATGAATTATGCTTATGTAGATACCATTATTTTTTTTAATGACTATTGAATACTTCATGTCTGAAAATGCTTGATTATGCTTAAGTACATGTTGAGCAGTTTCAACATTTGAAGTATATTTTCTTAGAATTTTAAATTGTTTTTTATCAACAAGTGTGTTATTGTATAAAATTTTATTCTCTGATTTTTAATCTATCTTTTGATTAATAATTATAATTTAAGAAATTAAACTCTAAGCTTCAATATAATGTGCTTGACATGTTGGTGAATGTGTATGTGAGTTATAAGGCTTAATAGTGTTTTCTCAACCCTTGTAGATTTTTAGTTTGCAAGTGACCCTTATGGCAAAAGAGAGATTTACAAACAAAGACAAATAGAAATTTACTAACATGTATATCTCATACACTCGTGGCAGACACACAGAGAATGAGGAGCTCTCAAAGAAGTGGCTTTGAATTCCAGCTTATATAACATCTTCGGGGACAGCACAGGCCTTGAGAAGTGGCTAGGCAATGGAGGAGGACTTTGAGTATCCAGGTGTGGTGACCTGGAAGAGAGCAAATAACAGGCAGAATGGGGCAGAAGTGGAGCTCATTTGGGCAGATGGGCCTAAGGTCCAAAGCTGTAATGTGTGGTCCACCTGTTCTCATGGTAGAATGTGAGCTTGTTCACATTGGTTGGAGGGGAGTCTTCTGTCTTTCTGAGTGTATCCTGTCTTTAGGCAGGTGGAGGGAGGACAGAGCTCTCCTGCATGTACCCCATCTTCGCTGCTTTTGGCTCAGCAATCATTTGTTTGGGGGTGACATATTTGGGTCTCCCACACAACCTTTTAAGAATTAATTTCAAGTGTCAAGCATTTATGTCAGTAGCAATGGCGGGAAAACCATGTTTTTGTTAAAAAATCATCAAATTATTTTGTATTGAAGACATGGGAAGCGTGTTTTCCTGTCCTTGTTCTCTTGGTGTGGAGGGCATTCAGGGCATGTGGCAGACCCTCCCGGATGCAGTGTATTATAAACCTCACTGTGTTGTAGGAGGCTGCTTGGCTGCTTGTTTGTTTCCCAGTTGCCCAGACTTCCAAAATAACCACACAGAAACTGTATTAATTAAATCACGGCTTGGCCCATAGCTTAAGTGTATATCTGGCTAACTCATATCTTAAATTAACCCATCTCCATTAGTCTGTGTACAGCCACGAGGCTGTGGCTTACCAGGTAAAGTTCCGGCATCTGTCTCTGGCAGGGCTACATGGCTTCTCTTTGACTCTGCCTCCTTTCTCCCAGCATTCAGTTTAGTTTTCCCCACCTAGCTCTACTCAATGCTATCAGGCCAAGCCAGTTTCTTTATTAACCAATGGTATTCACAGCATACAGAGGGAAATCCCACATCACCTCCCCTTTTCTGTTTAAATAAAAAGGAAGGCTTTAACTTTAACACAGTAAAATTACATATAACAAAACAGGTATCAAGAAAGAATTACAGTTACAATATTTATATCTACTTTATCTTTTATCATAACTATGGAAAACTAATTATAACTATCTATTCTTCAACTCCATCAAAGACTCCAGAAGGATATAATATTACCTAAGTAAACAAGAAGTGCATTGTAAGCAACTTCCAAAACTCTAGAAATGACAGACATCTCTCTGCCTGGACATTCACCCAAAGTTCTTCTGTATCATTGGAGAACCCATCTTCAGCCTACTGGCCCATATAATCCAGAAGACTTTCCCATAAATCAGGAAATCTCAAAGACAGTCTGCCTATCTTGGCAGTTTGGCAGTCACTTTTTTTCTGTGTCCTATAGAATGTCTGGCAGATCCTTTCATGAAGCAGGAACCCCAAAAGACCATCTCACCTTTAGGCAAGTTTAACAGTTATCTCTCTATGGATCCTGCATGTCCAGCTCACACAGCATAACATCAAGCTGTCCGTGCAAGAGCAATTTCTTGCCCAAATGGCTAACAGACTCCATAAGGAGCCTCTTCAATGCCCATCTTCCTCTTGAAGTAATTGGTTCTTATGGGAGCAGATGTGTCTCACTGTCATGAAAAGTCCTAAGTTAGTAAAACATTTTAAATGCCATATTCTGTAGTCTTTGCAAGGTTTGAAGAATCCTATTCATTTGAAATACACCTCTGTATATCTAGAAAATCTAACTAACATGACTACATGCTTGACTTTTATAGATGATTATCTGTTAACCTATATTTCTTAATTATATATTACATTTTTAAATGAGCTGCACAAAACACAATACCTTAATCAAGAGTAAAAATATACATATAACAAAACTGACCTTAAATTTGTATCAATAAAGCAAGATCCATACCAAAGCAAGCCTCTATGGCATATCTCCCTTTAAATGTGAAAAAACATTTA